GAGCTTACGTGGCTGTTTCTGGTGCTTCAAAATCATATGTGGCAAAATTAAATGATTCGTTATTAGACTTAGGTAAATTTTAATTTAATTTCAAACAAAAAATAATTAGGTTTGTATTACCATAAATATGTTGATTATTTATGGTCATGTTACATGTATTAATTGCATTTTAATATCATTCCTTATTATAACTATTGAATTGTATATATATATATTTTAAAAGTTAATAACTTTTGTATTTTTTATCAGTTTTACATATATAATATATCAAATTAATCTTCTTTTGATGAGCTTCGATTTAACATCCATGTTGTATGTATAAAAAAATAATTTATATTTATTTTTATAACAATAATAAAATTATTTTTAATATTAATTAAAAAAATTAAATTATTTATCAACTAATATATTTATATTTCAAGTAGTTATATGATAAAAGTTATAAAAACTAATATAATATAACACATGTAAGTCATAAGTAACACATATCATTCTAAAATATATAGTAATATTTTTATTTTTTTTGTAAAAAAGTAAACTAAATTTAATATAGTTTTCTCATTAATTTTAAAATTTAAGAATAATTTTTTAACAAGCACCCGTGTAATACACGGGTGTTGTACTAGTTGATGTTAATTATTAATAATTTTGGTAAAATGAATATTATGGTTTTTAGATTTCTCAAATATTAAAATTAAGGCCTTTTTTGTGTATAAGCCGGTCTGAATACTGCAATCTGTCTTTATATGCTTGACCTGAATTAAGCTCTATCTATATATGAATTAGCCTATGTTACTTAATGACAATGTTAGTAAAGTTATTCTCCAAATAAAGACATGCGATTTAAATTCGTTCTGATTTAGCACTTCTAGAGTTATAAGACTGCAATATACACTACAAGAATACACTTCAATTCCAACGAAAAATTTCAACGACAAAAATTTCCGTTGAAATTCCAATGAATATTCCAACAAATTTAATTTTATGTTGAAATAAGTATTGGATGGTTGAGAAATTCCAACGGATTTTTTCCGTTGGAATAGTTGTAGGAATTTATTTCCATAGGATTTTCCATTGGATTTTAGCTATTCCAACGGCCGTTTTTCCCACGAATTTTTATACGTAGGAATATCCATTGGAATAGCTATTCCAACGGAAAATATAAAGAATTCCAACGGAAAATTACCGTTGGAATGTAAGAGTTTTTTTTTTTGTAGTGATATAATCAGGAAAAAGAAACTCAATAAAATATAAAATGAAAGCGGGTCGGTATTTCATATTTTTATAACAAAAATATATACTCATGTTATGAAATAACATAATTTTGTTAATATAGTTCATTTAGAATATTATGACATTTCATTTTAATATAGTTCATATTTTTGTCAATATATATTGTTCATTTAGAAGTTTTCGGAACCGTATTGAATTTCGAAAATCACTGCAAATCAATATCTTGAACCGAATAAAAAATGGGGATGATTCGGTTAAGTGATTTTTATTTTCTGTTCGATTAGGTACTCAGGACTATTGGAACGACTTGGTTTGATTCAGTTCGGAGCTCTGAAAAATTCTTTACCATATTAAAGATTTTATTTTAAATTAACTTTTGAAGTAACTCAAAATTTCAGTTAAGACTAGATTTGTGCAACTGACAATAGAAAATTGAAATTCAAACAAAATTTAATATATATTTTGTTTAAAAAAATTCCTTAACCTTTCGTACCATATTATTTATAATATAGAATAAGATTAAGAATAATATCATCAAATTTTAGTGAAGTTTAAATATTTTTAATATTTCTTTACCCTTACATATAATTTTATATAATTTTTTTAAACATAATACAATTCCAATTGTAAATCAAGTATTATTGAGCATAAAATTTAAGTGAAAATTAATCGTTATAACTAAATGTTATTTAGTATTTTATAAATAGTCAAGTTATATAGGATGAAAAAATTGACATAATATATATGAACAACAAACATCTAATATTACAATTCAATTGTTAATTTCGATTCTTTTGTTTAGTACAGTATGAGAATTTTTTATTCGATTCTCGGTACAAATATTTATTAAACCTTAAAAACCGTATTATTTTTACAAATAAAGAAAAT